TGGGTATCGTCACGGCCAAACAAAAAACGGCAAGGACCAGTAGGCGCGGGGCGCCCTACTGGTAATGCAGTCACGCGTGTCTACAACGGACACGCGGTGCTGAAGACTGCAGCCCCCAGTGAGAGGGAATCTCACTGGGAAGTACAAGATGGCATGCCAAACCTTGTCATCTTGAAGGTGAAGTCGCTGACGAAGTGAGCGGACTCTCTTCGGGTGTTGGTGGACTCCGGCGCGTCGAACAACTTTGTTCGACAGCAAAGTCTGCCGTTGTTGGACTTCGAAGAGAAGCATGTGCCTCGAAGTCAGCTGCAGGTATGATTGGTTCCATCGTGAAGACACAGATAAGCGCGTGATTCGCGCACGCTTCTCGTACAAACACCGGGTGTTTGTAGAAGAGCTTCTCGTCCTGGACTTGGACGACAAGTTCGACATGGTTCTGGGCATGCCGTGGCTTACACGGCATGATCCAACAATTGACTGGGAGAAGCGTACGGTGGCTTGCACGGCATGATCCTATTAGCGACTGGGTGAAGCGTACGGTTGTACGCTTCGGACACCGCGGCGCAACAAAGAGAGATGGCCGTGTTAGTGCAGCATATACACCTAACGGTGCATACCAACCTCCTTCAAAGACAGTGGCTCATGCCGCTGTCTCCGGTCGCAGCGCGAGGAGCGCGCGAGTTGTAACGACTCCGGGAGTCTTTGACAGTAAAAGAGTGTCAGGTCAGGGACCCGACACTTCTAGAATGTTTTCCGTCGATAGGCGTCGAGGTGACAACAGTGTGTCAGCTCTGGGAGATGCGACACACTGCTCCGCCGCAAGGCGTAGAGGTGATGACAAAGCATCGGCTCCAGGAGTCGATGATACAAGTTGTTCGGACGGTTGCAAACGTCCAGCACTAAAACTGGCGTGCTGTCGTCCAGCCGGGTTGCATGAAGCAAGGCGCGATCAAGCCGGGCTTGATGACGCGTGCCCGCGGGGGCAAGAACCCGCTGGCGTCGCCCGCAGACTAGAATGTCTGCCGGCAGCATCAAGGAACGTTCATCCATGGCCGGGTCTGGACGAAACGCAAGTGAATCAGCAATTCACAAAAAGAAGCGACGGCGCAAGCAAAAGACGCTGCGCAAGTCTCGGTCCGGGGCCGAGACTCTTCATGCTGTGTCTACCAGACAGACACAAGTAGCACAATGGCCGTTGAGACGCTGAACGTCTTGACGCGGGCCTGTACTGGGTATCAGTACGAGAAGATGGAGTTGGAGAACCCTCCGACTGATGCGTTGGAGTTGACCTCGCTTCCAGTCGTGAGCTGGAAGCGAAGGACCTGTACGATGGACGCATCGAACAGCTATGCATTCTTTCGGAACGAGAAAGAATGACAAGCGAAGCGGAAGAGTTGAGGCAACTCTTCGCAGGAAGCGCCACTGAGAGCGAGGATACTCTCAGTGCCAAGACCAAGAAGGAGCGCTTCGAGGAACAGAGTTGGGACTCACTAAAGTCGAGTCCCTATTACGAGATTCTGCGAGAGCACAGGGAAGTGCTCCCGGGCGAGATCCTTGCGGAGCTTCCGCAAGACAAAGGGATACAGCACGAGATTGATCTCGTGTCGGGAACGAAGGATTACGTGGCCACTGCCGCGGGAGCAAATGAAGGCAATCGACGACTTCTTCGAAAGTCATCACAAGCCAGGACAATTGCAGGAATCGAAGTCCCCGCACAGCGCACCAACGTTCTGTGTCATAAAGCCACAGGGTGGCTGGCACATCGTTCATGCGTACAACAAGCTGAACGATGCAACGATACCGGCACAGACGCCGATACCTCGAAAAGATGTCATCATCGATTCGATGTCCAAGAGCACCATCTACAGTGCTCTTGATCTGAGAGACGGGTTCTATCAGATTCTGATGCGTGAGAACGATATCCCTCTCACGGCGGTAAGCACCCCAAGCGGTATGTTTTGGGATTGGCTAGTTATGCCGCATGGACTGAAGAATGCCCATGCGTCCTTCAATAGATGCGTCACGCATCTATTGCGCTCGGTGCGCGACTTCGCACCGAGCTATTTCGACGATGTGTACGTCCACAGCCGGGCTGTGAACGACAAGACGGACATCGAAATGCACAAAGAGCATCTTCGACAACTGCTTGGGCTCATGCGCAAGCACAAGCTCTATGCAAACTTGAAGAAGTGCATCTTCGGTGATACCCGTGCTAGGGTGTCTCGTTGGGAAGAATGGCGTACGCCCTGACCCCGAGAAGGTCAGAGTGATCAAAGAATGGCCTACGCCATCCAACGTGAAGGAACTGCGGCAATTCCTTGGCCTTGCTACGTACTTGTGTAAGTACGTGGAAAACTATGCGGGCAAGATTCGCCCGCTGTCGCAGCTACTGAAGAAGGAAGCTGCGTGGACTTGGGCTGCTGAGTGTCAGCAGCCGTTCGATGCAGTCAAACTGGGCTTGACTTAAGCACCGATCATGGC